AAATCATAAATATAAGTGGCTTTCCTCCTGTTGGAGAATGGGCAAACAAATTGTGGTATATGGCTGTAATAGAATATTATTGTACCTTAAAAATGATGAAATAGACTTTCTTTTTTTTTTCTTTTTTTGCGAGGCAATGGGGTGAAGTGACTTGCCCAGGGTCACACAGCTAGTAAGTGTCAAATGTCTGAGGCCAAATTTGAATTCAGGTCTTCCTGAATGCAGGGCCAGTGTTCTATCCACTGTACCATGTAGCTGCCCTGGGTGAAACAGACTTTCAGAGGAAACTGGGAAGACTTTCATTTTTTTAACTTCTATTTTTACTTTCAGTTCCAAATTCTCTCCTTCCTCCATCCATTGAGGAGCAAAGAAATGCAATACCCATTATATATATGAAGTCATGCAAAACATATTTCTATATTAGAAATGTTCAAAATAAAAACACAAGAAAAATAAAGGAAAACTTGTTTCAGTCTATATTCTGGGGGCAGCTAGGTGGCGCAGTGAACAGAGCACCAGCCCTGAAGTCAGGAGGACCTGAGTTCAAATATGACCTCAGACACATAACACTAGCTGTGTGACTTTGGGCAAGTCACTTAACCCCAATTGTCTCGCCAAAAAAAAAAAATCTGTACTCTGAGTTCTCTGAAGTGTATAGCATTTTTCATCAAGAGTCTTTTGGAATTGTGGTAGATCATTTTATTTATCAGTTACTAAGTCTTTCACAGTATTTCACAGTAATTTTTCCAATATTGTACATATTAATATTGCTGTTACTCTTGGTCACAACATGCTCCTCTTTCTCACTTCACTTTTCATCAGTTCATATATGTCTTGGGAAAACTTTTATGAATTGATTAAGAATGAAGTAAGCAAAACTAGAACAATTTATAAAATGATAGCATTTTAGAAAAAAAAAGCTTTGAAAGACTTCAGAACATTGATCAACAGAATGAAAAACCGTGAGTCCAAAAGAATGACAATGAAACATGCCACTTATCATCTAACAGAAAGGTGATAAACTTAAAATACAGAAATATACATTTTCAGACATAGTGTAGAATTTGTTTTATTGAACTATGTAGATATATGTTGAGGGTTTGTTTTAGGTTTTTAAATTTGCTTAATGAATATGAGAGGGGAGAAGAGTAGGAGGGGAGACTAATAAAAAAATAAAACTTGTTTAACTTGAAAACTTAAAAACAAAAAATAAACATATAAAGACCAAAGACCTTTTTTTGCTTAGGTCTCCATAATTTGGCCCCATTCTGCATACTCAACTTTTATTTCACACTACTTCACAACAGGAACCACTCTGTTCAGTTTCAAAGGTAACTCCTGTTTCTAAGTCCAGGGTGTTTTAGGTGCTATTTTTCAGCTACAACTGAATTGGTGGAGAGAACACTGACACAAGGCTGCATGCAGAGGTGAGGACAGAGTTGGTGAGAGAACTCTGGAGAGGGCAAATGTTCTTCATTCTGGTTTCAAGAACAGATGCAATGAGGTTCTAGACTCTACTGGGAACTGACTCAAGAAACATGGAAAGAGAGAGAGACAAAATTTGGAAGGCAGACCTATAAGCAAAGCTGGCCCCTCACCATGTCCTGGATTTTCAGCTTGCCTCCCTGGACTTTGAGGAATTTCTCCTTAGGAATAGAGAATTAAGGAATTTCTCCTTAGGTTGAAATTGGGGCATCTCTCTTGATTGAGCACAGATCTTATCTTGCTCCCATCTAAAGAGCTCATTCCCTCCTTTTCTGGTATATTCTAATCTGTATAACTTCTCCAATTTATGCTTGCTATTTGCTTTAATAAATGGTTCAGAACAAATGAGTCAGAAAAGAGCAAACTGCTAGGCATAAGCTTAGGGTACCCAGTGGCCAGGGAAGGTAGTGGCTTTTGAACCTAAAAACTGTGCCCCTAGATTAGCAATATTTAATAGAGTGGATAGATATAATTCTAGGCTGCTACCACTGTCTGTCAGAGGAAAACAAAGAGGCCAGTCTCATGCCCTTTCTCCCATTTCCTAAAAGGCAAGAACCACATTTTCCCTTAGAGAAGGGTAAGTTAAGATTTCAGAGATATCTATCCATGCCTCTCCTTGAGCTGTTTGTCTTTATTTTTAGACATTCTCTGTGAATACACACATCTTCCTTGGGCAGCATACCTTACATGCAGAATGATGAGACAAAATGCTTATATCAGGAAATGGATGCAGTGGTAGCAAACCAATGTTTATAACAGGAGAAAAGTATATCTCTAGGTTCAAGATAAAGTATTTTCAATATTTTTAAAGACAAAGATGTAGAAATCAAGAAGGGCAATACTGAAGATGCCTGACCAAGAAAAAAAAAAAAAGATGAGCTTGGAAACAAAGTATCTTGAAGAATAGCTCCTCTAAGACCCAGTACAGTAGATGAGAGAGAGTTCTTCTATGAATAGTCAGAGGAAACTATGGTCCCATTATCTCAGTATTGTCTCCTGTTACACAGTTTTGGTATGCTTATGGTTTAAACTGTACCTAGTTCTAGTTAAAACTGACTGCTGATACTGTCCAGCAAGCTTGCTAATGCAGCATAGTTATAATTCCACCTTCCTTGTCCTGGTTAATTTTTAGAAACCCCCTACCTTTTACTATTGATCCATCCTCCCTGACCCCATTGCCCCACTAGTGATATGTCAGTGACCAAGCTACCATGACCAACCCTTTGTCTGAAAACTCTATAAAAACTCAGGTTCCAAAGGGCTCTCAGCCTTTGATCAGAAAACACATCACACTACTGATTTAGGCTACCACTCAGCATGCTGACCTGCAGGAATGACCCTCTATCTCTACCTCCTGAGCTAGTTGGCTAAGTATCAAAAAACCATTCCAACCCATCCATGCTACCTACCATTCACCAAAACTCTGCCCCAAATTTGCATACTTTATTATTTCCATTATACTCTATGCCCATTTAAATATTTCCTTTTCCCATAAAATCAGCCACAGTGTGTTTGACACAGTTCTCCACATTCTCAGTTCTGGAAAGTTCTCTGTGTACCTAGGGAGGCTCAGACATTGTCCTTACACTAAACCGTTTCCACAGATTTCATGTGACACAGGTCTTTAATGACCTCATATGAAGAGTTCTATTTAACATAGTTCTTAGACAATCCAAAAATTAAGTCTTTTTTGATGGCCCAGATATACGATGGCTGCTGGACCAAGGCTGCACAGAAGGAAACCTAGCCAAGGCCAAAGCCAAGACGCTCTCCTCACCTCCCTCCTCCCAAGTGACTCCTCCTCAGGGATGTTACTGGAAACAAATATTTCTCCTTATTTGTACTCACTCCAAACTCCTCAGGTTTGCTATACCCTTCTTATCAGTCACACCACAATGACCCAGTTGATAAATATCCTTTCCATGCTACTATTAAGCAAGCTTCTGTTTTGTTCAATGTCAGAAAGTTTACAGTGTCTCATTTCACTCCAGTATGGAACCTGAACCACCAAACTGGCCTGAGTCAGGCCAATATAAATAATATTATATTGTATTGTATTATTTTATATAAAATGTTACATTATACAATATAAATATAAAATATAACATTATACAATATTTTTTAAATCCCTACTGTATAAGAAAGTAAGAATGATTTGCAATCTCTAGCAGTACTCACATTGATGAAATCACAGATGCATATAGTATGAATTGGCAATAGTACTATAATTTCCAATTACTCAGCACAGGTAAATCAGAAGGTCTAGATTATGACAAGTAGCTAAATAGGTAACCCATTCAGGTGGTCTATGAGTACCTTGGGACAAGGACTGCACAATGCCCTGGTCCCAGAATTTATTTAAAAAAAAAAAGGAAGAGAATAAACTGAATTGCTTTCCAATAATTATACATTATGTAAGACAATCCCAAGCTACTCCCTGACACAAAAATTCATCTTTTTATCATCAATTTTCAAACATGTTGCTATATGACTATGAACTACAACACATCCTAATCCCCAAAGTTTCAAAATTGTAATTGGTCAAAAAAGCAATGGAAAAATATGGTGGCCATAATTAGGTTACAACATATTACAAACAAAGACAAGCACCAGAAGTAGTAAAAAGGATACTGCCTAGAAAATAAATGTATGATCAGGAAAGGTAGTGAGCCTGTCATGTAAAGACCAGAGGATAACAAATGGACAGCCCTAGATCTACATCGGTATTTATACACCTAGCACAAAATCCTTCAGTAAAATCCTTCATCATGGCATGAATACAGAATTACTGAAGGCCATGCCATTGGTGCACAAACTCCAACATGCCCAACAGGCTGGAAAGCCTCCAACATGTCCTACAAGCTGGTAATTGACTTTGTCGCCTGAGTACTAGCCTAGGCAAATAAAACATGACCAGAAGGCTGACCACTTGTTGATGAATTTTCTCTGACCAAAGCACTTCATGAAACTCTACTAAGGCATGGAGGAAGCTGTAATCTAGATGGATGCAGTATCTATATGGGTATAGTATCTATACAGGTAAAATCATGGTATTCATTTAAGTATTGATTAGGCACTTACATGCCATGGACTTGGCTAAGCAACGAAAAAGACAAAAACAAAGCAATCTCTGCCCTCAAGGATCTTACATTCTCCAGAGGTAAGTGGAAATGTACTAATGGGACCCCAGAAGCAGTTATGGGACATATAATAATGTAAAATAACTGATGGGGGTCTCGTTGTCCCCGGAGAAGGGCAGCACCCCCTCCCCCGGTTCCCCAGGGAAGCCCCTCTTCTTGCACACAGTTAAGTGCTCGGTCAGTATCTGCTAATGTGCTTTACTGACACACAGTCTCTCAACTCTCTTCTCCCCCATCACCTTCTATTTCTGTCCATTCCCCTCCCTCACAGACCCCACAGCGCCTCCACCCCGTTCCGCTTAGAAGCCCAACCCGTTTTCCCGCCTTTCCCCCCCCCCACCTCTCGGAAGCCTGAGGCCCCGCTGTCCCCATTACCCAATCTCCTTTTTAGTGCCGGCCAAAGTCTCCCGGTTGCTAGGGGCAACGGCGGGGCCGGGAACAGCCAGGGCCAGAAGGGAGTTGTCATGGTTTCCGCTCCTCCTCTTTCCCCTCCACCTTAGGCACCGCCCCGCCTCCGCACCCCTCGGCGCCGGCGCCTACGCAATACGCTAGGGTGGAAGCCAGACTCCACCTGGCGGAAAAGGGGTGGGGCTGGGGTCCTGTGGCTAAGGGGGAGGGGGAGGGGAGGGGGCGGGAGAGGGGGGGGTAAGAAAAGGGAAAGAGAGGAAGCGGAGCCGGCCCGTACGGTGGCCGAAGAGGGACGCGCTGTGCCAGAGGCTGCAGGATGGTAGGGAGTGCGAAGCTGGGGGAGGGGAAGTGAGGGGCGTGGGCTACACCCGCTGGGACATCTCGGGGGCCAAAGCTCGTAGGGGCGGCGCACGCCTCTTCCACCCCAGAGGTGCCCTCCCCAGGTCGGGCGGGCCTGCCAGGGGAAAGGAGGGAGGAGAGGAAATCGAGGAAGAAGCGCCGCCGCCCCTGGTGGAATCCCCTCCTCCCCCCCGCCCCTGTCCGTAGGGACTGCGGGGAGCGGGCGTCTCGAGCCGCGGGAGCCCCTAGATCAGCAAGAGGGAGGGGGGCCCGGAGCGCCTTACCGTCGGGCCAGGCGTGGGCGTGGGGGTTCCAATAGGACGCACAGAAGGGACTCGGCCTGAGCTGCGGGCGCCCGTCCGTGGGGACTGACACAGGGCAGAGGATAATGGTCAGTCCCCGGGGAGATGCCTCTGCCCCACCTCCCCCCCTTCCCCCGCCCGCCGGAGGGTGAAGGGGGCGACTTCTTCGGGAGGAAGTTTCTAGGTCTCAATAGGCACTACGCTCTCGAAAACCCAGGCGTCCAACTCTCCACGTCCCACCCTGCCCTTTACCTTTCTCCAAGTCAAACCCTTCCCTTTTGTACTCTCAGCACCCAGTTCTCCCACGTGTGCATAGGCTCCCCTTCATCACTACCCCCTCCCCCGGTAATTTTCTGGCCCTGCTGTCCTCTGCTGTTCAACCACCCCCACTTCAGTGCCCCATTCACCTTCCCACTTCCCCACCAGCACCAAACTCCTACACTCTTTCTTCCCAACCCAGCACCCTGCTTCTTTCTTTAAACCCCAAGAGGCATTCCCCACCTGCTTCTTTTCCCTCAAGTCTGTTGTGTAGTTTGCCCACGTACATAATACACTCTCCACCATTCTTTTCCTGCTGTACCTTTCACCCCCACCCATTTTCTTCTCGTGCCACCAAAATAGCATACTCCATAGCCCACACAGAGGAACCCCTTGAAAGAGACAACTGACCAATCATACAGGTGGGATCTTGGATGGTACTGGCCCTTAGAGTAGGAAAGACAATGTGATCTTCTGTTTCTCCACTTACCCTCCCTCATTCTCCCCAAATTTCAGTCAAGATCGAACCCAGAAAATTAAATATGTCTTAACCTGACGTTGCCCTTTTTTTCCCAATGAAGAAATAATCCTGTTCAAGTTTTGTTTTGTTTTGTTTTTTGGGTTTTTTTGGGGGGCGAGGCAATTGGGGTTAAGTGACTTGGCCAGAGTCACACAGCTAGTAAGTGTCAAGTATTTGGTCTGAGGTCAAAATTGAACTCAGGTCCTCCTGACTCCAGGGCTGGTGCTCCATCCACTGCACTACCCAGCTGCCCCCCCTGTTCAAGTTTCCAGACGACTTGATTCCTGTATCTTGAATGACTAGGGGGGTCAGGAGGGGGACAACCAAAGGGATAGTATTAGAAAAGGAAAATTATAGAGAAGTATATGTGAGTCCTCAAAGGGAAAGGGGGTTGGAGAGAAAAGGGTAAGAAAATATGAGGGTTAAATGCCTGAGGGGAATGAAAGCTTTGTGGGAGGAGGGGAAAGAACCTGAATCTAGGAGTAGGATATTTAGGTTCTAAGAATCCCAAAGCTGTAAGGAACTTCAGAGTTCATCTAATTCAACCCTCACCTGAAGCAAACCCCTTCTTCAAGGACTTTTGGTATTGTGAACTCTAGAAACCTTGAATTGGAGTCAGAAGATCTGGGTTCACATTTCTATTCTGCTACTTGCTACCCTTTTTACCTTGTGCCTCAGTTTCCTTCTTCTGTAAAATGATGGGTTGAATCAACTTAGAGGTACTTAACCTGAGGTCCATAAAATTGTTTTTAAAAAAAAATATTTTGGAGACTATTTCTATATAATTGGTTTCCTTTTCAATCCTATGTATTTTTTTTTTTTTTGGTATTTAAAAATAGTTTTCTGAGAAGGGATCCCTAGGCTTCCCCAGATCACAAGAGGAGTCCATGACACACAAAAAACGGTTAAGAACCCCTGGACTAGATGATCTCAAAGATCCCTTTCTGATATGTAATCTCTTTCTGTCTGAAATCCTGTGATTTCAAGTGGTTATCTGGCTTATGGTGATGACTTCCATTAGGGAACCATCTGCTGAAGCAGATCATTC